CTATTTTGCATTGAATTTTTGCACAACGGGTAAAAATAGAAATCAGCATCTCTCCTTCTCATATATGTCTCCATGATGGCAGATTAATGGGGCGGAGCTCTATCTGACTTGCTGCAGCTTCTAATGTACATTGTGAGAAGCTCCCAGCGTGCAGTGACATCAGAGGAAGAGGAGCCGGTACAACTGTGCAAGACTGAGGAGGAGGACGGAGGTCAGATTTAAATGTACAGCAACACACCAGAAGCCCGGACTCATTCAAGGCAGCTGAAGACCCCCAGTGTGTGTTTGTGCAAAGTAAAACATTTCAACCATTTAAATCAAATTATAACTATCTCCCAGCAATCGATTCCACACCAGAAGCCACCATTGTGTTGAAACAATCGATGACTGCCATTGTGTACAGCATCAATGGAATATGTCACCACTGCACCATGTGCTCTCAGTGCCTCTTCTCTGTGGCTATATCAATGCAGAAGTGCGCCCTGGTCCTTGGATGGCCAATGATGCATGTAAAACACTAAAATGAGGCTCAATGGAGGTCAGTGGTGTGTCTGGAGGTCAGTGGAGTGTTGGTGAGTATAGACATCTAGGTGTTCATTAGAGGGCAGTTGTGCCATCCACAGACTGTACCCGGGAACGCTAAGACTGGAATAATTGCTTGTCAATACAGTCCGGCATCGAACGCATTTTAGAATTGCTATAACGTTTCCTAGAGCTGGAATGATTCCAGGTTTCGAGGAGTACATTGCGTCCATGAAGTAGTTTTCTCTTCCTGCAGCTGCCTCTTCCGATTACCCGTAGATTCGATTTTCCAAGTGCCAAGCGCTGGCTGTGAGCAAGTAATTGTCCCTGAACGGTGTGACGATGGAGAGTCATGCCCTCTATTTCATCAGCGCAGCCAGCTTTCGCGGCGCGAGTGGATTAGTGGTGCGCAGCACACAGCTGACAGCCCCATAAACTGTCTCCTGGCTCTTCTAACCATGTTAATCCGGCTCCTCTAATTCCTGAGCAAAAGCAGGCAAGGTGACTGCGACGACTTAACGATGGCCGAACCCGGCAGGGGTTAATGGGACAGGCAGGGGAGACCCCTTTACTAAGTGACATTGAAGATTAGTGCATTTGGCTGACCTTCTATTTATCCAAACAAGAACACAAGGCCAATTATCCACACTTTATTATCTGCTCCACTGGAGGGTGAGTTGTAAATAATTGCCTTGTATATCCTCTCTGTAATAAAAATGTAAGAGGGGGATGCTAATGCCAATAAACGCCAACGGCGAGATACACAGCTCAGCACTCAGGTTGTACTTCAACATGCATTGCTTCCATTCACATTAGAGACATCACTGAGAATGCAGCCTATCCATTCACTAGAGGCCGGTGACATCACTGAGAATGCAGCCTATCCAATCACTAGAGTCCGGAAAGTAAATAAGAATCAGCCGAATTCCCCCCCTTCCATTACAGACACAACTATCTGATTGGGCTGGGGAAGCTTTTGTCTAGGACTGGCACAGGGGAGGACATGATATCAGTTGCTTTGTGTCCATTCATATAGAGTAGGATGATGCAAGCTGCACACTGTACTGCATGTTGGGTATATTATCATCTCTGAATTGCTGCAGCCAGCCAGCGTTCAGATTAGAGTCTTGCTGCTGCTTCAGCCTCGGCTCAGATAAGAGAGAGGGATTTATTTGTAATGCGTTGGCTGGTGTGCGTACGCTGCCCTTGTTATGGTGACTGAGCCAGAGGTGGCAGCCAGTGGCATGGATGGAGTTAAGATCTGGGAGGACCAGTCAGTGGAGCAGGC